AGTCATCTTGGACATGCAAGAACATATCTTTCTACTGATATTTTTAGAAGAATATTGGAAGATTATTTTGGCTATCAGGTCATTCAATGTATGAACATCACTGACGTTGATGATAAAATCATTCTCAAAGCAAGAAAAAACCTTTTAATTTCTAAATACTGTACTACTACACCAAAAGTTAATGATGATACAATTAAAATGATGAAAGAAGCATGGAACGAACATAAAGAAAGTATTGAAAAACAAATGGGTGAAACAAAAGATGCTGCTATGTTATCGTTATTTAAGTCTCAAAAAGAAGAATATGAAAAAGTATTTCCAACACTTGATTCATTTAATGGTCAAAACACAACTGAAGTTTTTGCTCGTATGACTGATGTCATTGGTAAATATCTTGATATTAGACAAAAAGAATCTGTTGATCCTATAGAAATGAAAGAAGCCGCTAGAGCTCATGCAAGAAAATATGAAGAACTTTTCTTTGCTGATTGTGATGCACTTGGAATTAGAAGACCAGATGTTATTTCTCGTGTTACTGAATTTATTCCAGAAGTTATTGCTTTTATCCAAAAAATTATTGATAATGGTTATGCGTATGAATCAAATGGAAGTGTTTATTTTGACACAGCTTCTTTTAGAAAGGCTGGAATGACATATGGTAGATTAGAGCCATGGAGTGTTGGTGATGTAGATGCCCCAGCTGATGGAGAAAAACATAACAAAAATGATTTTGCATTATGGAAGAAATCAAAAGCAGGTGAACCAAGTTGGGAAAGTCAATGGGGTCCAGGAAGACCAGGTTGGCATATTGAATGTAGTGCTATGGCTTCAAATGTTTTTGGAGACACTTTAGATATCCATTCAGGAGGAGAAGATCTTAAATTCCCACATCATGAAAATGAATTAGCACAATCGGAGGCATATTTTAATAAAAAAGAAAGTTGGGTACGATATTTCCTTCATACTGGACATCTTCATATTAATGGACTTAAAATGTCTAAATCTCTTAAAAACTTTATACCATCAAACAAGCTCTTGAAAAATATAGTGCAAGACAATT